GGTTTTATTTTGATTGAAATGAGATCTTCACAATAGATTCAGTTTGAGCTTTCGCACCTCAAGAAGATATCGTCTAGATCATTTTACCTTACTTTCTAAATTTTTGAAAACGCTTAATCCGAAACTGTTCTACATAGGTTCTCCTGTCAAAAATCATCTTCGAGGACGTTTTCTAGAAATATCGTGGACAAATGTCAATTGGAGCAACCAGCAAGCAGTGGTGTCCACCCAAAAAGTCGATTTTGAGATCTTTTGTTTACCCTGGTTTATTCGCTATGCTAAATCCGAAAACCCACATTAAAGGCAGCGGCTCGGCAGAATTTTGTTCTCCAGTTCTTACCTTTTCGGGACCTTCTAACCTTTTACCTTTTCGGGACCCAGATCTACCTTTTCGGGACCCAGATCTGGGCTTTTGCGGGCATGAAAATGGCAAAAATGAGCCCTTTCTTGAAGTTCAGGTGCGCATTCAGTGCAAAAATACGCTTAAGTGGGCGGAGCTCGAAAGGAGACAAGCGGGGCGCGGAAGATTTCCGCGTATTTGCATTGAATGCGGACCTAAAAACGTTGAAAAAGGCTCATTTTTGCCCATTTTCATGCGGGGAAAAGCTCAGATATGGGTTGCTCATGTCGAGAAGGTCCCGAAAAGTAGAAAAAGTGGAAAACGAAATTCTGCCGAGCCGCTCCCTTTAGAGAGCGCGATAACGGCGAAAAAGGGTTCCAATACACAAGAGAAAACAGATGTGGGTAGGGTCTTTCCCAGTGTGAATCCATGGTCCCGACTTCCGGAGTCCTCTTCTCAGTTCCGCTCTCCGCCCTAACATCTCCACCTGTCAGGCGAACACGTGACCTGAACTCGGAACCGGAAAGATCGCTCCGGAAGCTGGGAGCGTGAATTCACAATGGGGACGATCCCGCCCCCTGCTGATTTTCCTCCTGCGTCAGAGCCCTTTTTATGTTTTCGCGCGACTTTACTGCAAGATCTCTCTACTTTCAGTTCAAATGCGCTTCAGAGCTTTGAAGTAGATACACCATCTTGTTAGATCCACTATAGAAGCCGTTCAGGATAGCTGCCCCCAGCGCGACCCGCGTGAAAAAAATTAACTATTCTACCATACTACTCATAATTGACTTTAAATCATAAATACTTGATCTTGAATTGAATTGAGAGATATGATCAAAATTGCCATTTCCCTATTCTCAAACTGCACCGGCTTTCTCGCAAGAACTACTCTGCTCTAACAAGCAAAGCGAAATAAAGCCGGCTGTGAAGGTAGCAAATCGCTGTATTAAGATGCATATAAATGTTGCTACTTGTTTTGTTTCCCCAATATTTAACTGTCAAAAAATAACGTCGTAGAGCTTAATGCTTCCAAACGTCCGTCCAGATTATTGCATGTTTCAAACCGAACAAAAATCTCAAATATGTCATTCGACTCACCTAGGGAAGAAGAAAATGCCATCATTTCCGAGTAACTCCTTGAGTTCACGAATCAGACGATCGCGTTTGTAGATAATCTGAACAGTGAGATTGATCTAGGAGCGAAGAATCTGGAGCGCAAAGAGAAAATCCGAAAAAATGATTTCTTTCAAAGTTTGGAGTGATAATGTAACACGACTGTACACAGAATTCGATCTTGACATCAAAATGAAAGACAGGTAAAGCTCAGAAAAAAAGATTTACCTCTCTCTTTTGTTCCTCGCTCAGCGCATCAACGTTGTCGATGATAGCAGCAATAATTCCAGGAAGTGTATGGTTTGATTTACCCAGAACCAGTTTGATCGACTCTATGAAGGTGTTCACACTGCCTTTTGAAGCCTAAAAAAGAGATCTTGAGCAGTACGTGTGCAAAGAAACCAGCAAATCTGATACTCACCTCTACGCAAAGCATGTACTCTGACAATTTTGGTCCCCCTCTCACATACATACTAACTAGGAACATCTCCATGGCGTATTTAACCAAGGGTAGGTCCAATCGGTGCGCCACAAGATCGTATTTGCGCTCGAAATAGCCGACAGCCTACAAGAACAACATTAACGACAGTAAGATATATCTTCTATCAAAAATTTCTGGAACAAAGAGAAACTCTGATAATTTTTATCTTTTTCAATGAAATCATGCAAAAGACAATACATAAAACATCTCCATTTCCAAATTAAGCTCACCTTTCGCAATGTTCTCCTCATGTCCGAATGGAGCGGTGGGATAAGTGGTACACCGCTGATACCCTCCATGTAGAAGATACGTAGTTTCCGCATCGAAACGGGCTCGTCAAGGTTCAATGGAACTGCGAGTTCTCCACCCATGATCTGGGTTACATGGATGATGCTCACAAAAAATCACAATGCTTGAGCCAAAACACAGCGCGGGATAAAAAAAGAATAAAAAAGATAAATCGCTAAGTTCAATCAAGCACTACCTTAATA